GCTGGGTTTTAGAACAAAAGAGAGAAACCTATTGTACTGTAGAGCCTGTGCTGTTACTCTTTGCTGTATGTGTTATGATGACTTCCACAAAGTAAATGATCTCACTGAAATCAAGTATCATTGGTTAAGACAAGAATGTTTGGACCAAAATGAGTCACTGGGTAAGGGGTACTGGGAAGAAGAGGCCAATCAATGGCGTAACAGGCCAGATGAACACAGTATATTCCTTGGGCAATGTTCAAGTGCAGATGCAGTTATTGCACATAGGATGAACAACCCTATGAAACACAAGATGAAGAAAACCACTAATCTCATGTACTACAAGACAACACTGACGACTATACTTGATAGTACTAACATGATGAGTGATTCTACAACTCTCACTACTAAGGATGAAAACCCCCCATGGAAACCAAAATGAACACTGTCAGGTGTAGGTCAAACAAGAAACCCCTTATTGTTTTGGTTGCAAAGACAAAGTTTCTACTGGTAATGATCAGAATGCTAGTAGTACAATAATTAGAGATTGTTCTTCTTCTTGTTTTGACAGTTCTGATTCATCACCACTTCTTGTCATTCTTCATCAAATGAAGATTGGAAGAAGCCCAGATGGTGATCAGAACATGTCCATATCATTCTTGCTGTTGATGGCTGACCAGTCTTCTTGCATGAGATGATGATCAGAAGGTGTAAACTATTCAGACTAAGTGGTTACCATACTATGCATTTAACCATGTGTTGCTTAAAGGCAGCATTGGTGCACATCACCATATTATGTTGTTATGTCATAATTAATGTCATATCATGTCATATCATGTCATATCATATCATATCATATCATAACATAACATAGTAGAATCATACCCTACATTTGATTAATTGTGTTATGTAAGGAATATATGGTACATACATAGCACATATACATTTATAGTTAGGGTTATTCGGCCAATTTTAAGGTGCTATTGGGTTCCAACATCAGAGTTTGAACCCCGGTTAAAAAATAATTATTTTCCTGTAGAAGTGTACAGAACCTGGCTGAAAGTGAGTTATTTTTAACCGTTATTGAAATTTTTAAACGTTTTCTTGTGACGTCAGTGAAGAAGATTTTTAGAACCATGGTCAGAAATCACGATAAAAATGCTAACAAAAAGCACGGAGTGATGAAATCCGGCTTTCGTACCGGTACAAATGCACAATATTGTAAATCAATTTTGATTTGCAATATTGTGTGTGTTTTCACTACAGTCTTTTCTATACGGAGGACACTCACTGATTTGAAGGACGCTCACTGAAACGGAGGATGCTCGTTGATACAGAGGACGCTCGCTGATATGGAGGACGCTCGCTGATACAGAGGATGCTGAAACGGAGATGCTGATATAGAGATGCTGATATGGAGGATGCTAACTGATACAGAGGCTCACTGATACGGAAGATGCTCATTGATATGGAGGCTTGTTGATACAGAGATGCTGATACGGAAGATGCTGATACAGACGAGGATGCTAACTGATAAGGAGGCTCACTGCTGATACAGAAGATGCTGATACAGAGGATGCTAACTGATACGGAGGCTTGCTGATACAGAGATGCTGATACAGAGGTTCACTGAAACAGAGGATGCTGATACCAGTCGCTGATACGGAGGTTTTGCCTTTTGTCACCATGTAGTCATGTATCGTACATTACAAAATAAAGAAATAAAGTAGAATAGTATTCACTGTTCCCCAGTTCACCTAAACCAAAGTTGGTTGTGTCCAATCATGTCAGGTGTTCCATTATGTTAACACGGGGAGTTCCCCCTTGGGGGAACCCAGGGGTGTTATGGCAATTTAAAAATGGTACCCGTACCTAATTTTTCATCCTGTGCCTCCTGCAGATTAACACGCACATTATTCAAAATCAATTTTGATTTCTATTTTTGTGTGTGTGTTTTGGCTGTACGGTAGTCATGTATCCTACGGTACAAAATACAGTGATAAAGTAGAATAGTATTTACTGTTTCCCAGTTCACCTAAACCAAAGTTGGTTGTGTCCAATGTCAGGTTTTCCATTATGTTAACACAGGGAGTTCCCCCTTGGGGGAACCCAAGGGTGTCGTGGAAATAAAAAAATCGTACCTGTACCTAATTTTTCATCTTGTGTCTCCTGCAGATTAACACTCACATTATTCAAAATCAATTTTGATTTCTATTTTTGTGCGTGTGTTTTGCCTGTTAGAGCTACTANGGGAGTTCCCCCTTGGGGGAACCCAGGGGTGTTATGGCAATTTAAAAATGGTACCCGTACCTAATTTTTCATCCTGTGCCTCCTGCAGATTAACACGCACATTATTCAAAATCAATTTTGATTTCTATTTTTGTGTGTGTGTTTTGGCTGTACGGTAGTCATGTATCCTACGGTACAAAATACAGTGATAAAGTAGAATAGTATTTACTGTTTCCCAGTTCACCTAAACCAAAGTTGGTTGTGTCCAATGTCAGGTTTTCCATTATGTTAACACAGGGAGTTCCCCCTTGGGGGAACCCAAGGGTGTCGTGGAAATAAAAAAATCGTACCTGTACCTAATTTTTCATCTTGTGTCTCCTGCAGATTAACACTCACATTATTCAAAATCAATTTTGATTTCTATTTTTGTGCGTGTGTTTTGCCTGTTAGAGCTACTAAGTACAATTCCAGTGCTGGCAAGTTAAAGGCAGTTTCCCAAGTGTCAATTTTTTATTTTCCTGTTTTTAKTTCCCCTCTCCCTCCCCTCTGCACAAAAAAACAYCAAGTCCCTAAATATTTCTATTAGTGATCCTTACTACTGCGGATACAAAATCAGAGCTTATCCCCAGTATTAAGGACCACTAATAGAAATATTTTGGGACTAGTGAGAAATTAAACAATGGAAATATTTTTATTTTTGTCCGTTGGAWGCCTTTTTTAACTGGTTTTAACWGTAAAAATGAGCTAAAAAAATCTATTAGTATTTGTACGGGGAATGCCAATAACTTGCCAGCACGGGAAYTGTACTTAGTGTACTTAGKAACTCTATTGCCTGTAGTCAGAATAGTTTTTACTGTTTCCCGGTTCACCTAAACRGAAGTTGGTTGTGTCCAATGTCGGATTTTCCATCATGTAACAYGGGGAGTTCCCCCTTGGGGGGAYCCAGGGGTGTCATGGGAATWTAAAAATAGTACCCATATCTATTTTTTCATCCTGTGCCTTGTGGAAATTAACACAAACATTATTCAAAATCAATTYTGATTTCTATTTTTGTGTGTGTGTTTTTGGCTGTAGTCAGAATAGTTTTTACTGTTTCCCGTTTCACCTAAAYGGAAGTTGGTAAACACGGGATGTTCCCCCTTGGGGGAACCCAGAGGTGTCATGGGAATAAAAAAATCATACCTGTACCTAAWTTTTCATCCTGTGCCTCCTGCAGATTAACATGCACATTATTCAAAATCAATTTTGATTTGCTGSAGCTGGAGCTGGAGCCTAGGGTTATTTTTCAAATTWAAAAACCCACGTTTTAGAAACGTGGGTTATTCTTCCCATGAAATAACCCATGATTCTAAAACGTGGGTTATTTTTCACCAAAAATAACCCACGTTTTTCTAGGGGAGGAATTCGAAAAGGGGGATGTGTGCGTGGGTACCGGAGGGCAATGGTAAACATCAGGYAACAAGTACTTGTACGTACTGGTAAATTTTCTTAAATTGCCATAACACCCCTGGGTTCCCCCAAGGGGGAACTCCCCATGTTAACATAAAGGAAAACCCGACATTGGACAAAACCAACTTCGTTTTAGGTGGACCGGGAAAGCACTAAGAAACCACTTATCCGTAATCAAGCTCTGCTTGTAAGTTTATCTAGAAATGACCATTTGGCAATTTTGATTTTCACCTTCTACTTGTAGACCCAGGGAATCTAGGAAACTAAGCAAGGAACTTGTTATGTGATATAATCGGCGAGCTACTTGCGGATTACATGTAATCCGTATGTAATCTGATCCATACTCTGGAAACTCTACTAGCGCGAGACTGCACATAATTTTTTTTCCCCCTTAAGGAGCGTTTTCCAGAGTATGGATCAGATTACATATGGATTACACAAGTAATCCAACTGAGGCCAAGGACAAGAGCTTTGCTCGAGACCGAGGCCAAAGTTGGATTACTTCACAGTAATCCAACTGAAGATGAGGTTGAGAGCGTTAGCTCGAGACCGAGGCTGAAGTTGGATTACTGCTGTGAAGAGTAGCTGGCCAATTATTTACGTAATCCTCTAGTTTGCTCGCTTTTCACGTGTAATCACCACGCAGTTGCAGTAATCACCGCATTCATGATGGTGATACGGAGGACACTGATTAGGAGGAACCGATACAAAGGAGCGAGCCGCTGATACGATACGGAGGAGCCGATACAGAATACGGAGGAGCCAGCCGCTGAGACAATACGGAGGAGCCAGCCACAAGCCAGCCGCTGATACAATACGGAGGACGCTTGATGATACGATATGGAGGAGCCAGTCGCTGATACGATACGGCAACAGAGGAGCCGCTGATACGATACAGAGGAGCCAGCCGCTGATATGATACGGAGGACGCTCAATGATACGATACTGTACGGAGGATGATGCTGATACATAGGATGCTGATAGAAAATTAGTAGGAGAGCACAAAGTTGAGTGATACAGTTAGTTCAGCTGGGTAGTGTATATTCAGCTCAGTTGAAAACAAAAATTGGTCGGGGAGATGATTGACCTCAAAAAAAGCAATCCGTCGTGAAAATTTTGTTGTCGGAGTTGTAATCCGATTCAGCCAAACAACTAGTATTACTGTGAAAAAAAAGGCTCGGACAAAGGAGTGCACTGAATACAATTTTGGATTACATGAAATCCATTTTGCAGGTTTGTAATCCATCGAGGTGCGAGATTTAAGTAGAAAATTAACTAGTGTTTGTTAGCACGTGATTACATGTAATCTTTTCGTAATCCAGCGCGCGTGTGATTACACGTGAAAAGCGAGCAACTGGAGGATTACCGTACGTAGGCTGTTTTGTCGCAGATAAACAGTCGAATCAATCGAATCAATAGTCCTCATTGAGGGAACGAAGGGGAAGGAGACCATTTTTTCTGTCAAAACGATCTTTCGATTGATCCATCGGATTTTACGGTAGAAATTTCACAAAAAAGTACGAGCACGAGTTACTCGACCGAAAAACTGTTCATGAGACTCGTAAGCTAAACCTCGTCCGAAACAAAATAGGTTGGAAATGGCTTGAAATGTAAATTGCACAACGCCGAACAAAACCTTGATTAGCCAGAGTATCRACTGATCACTTTCGCCATCGAAATCATCAGGTACCGAAATGATATCTRTTCTACGCATTTCTACAGCTAGAGTAAATCACAGGAGCAACCGAAGATGTCTCGAAGCCTCTCTGCGTAAMATGCAGGTCCAAATCGAAATGGGAGGGCAACATTATTGTCCCCGTCTATGTCACTCTTTCCTTCAAAACTTGGATAATTATRTTTTTAAAAGGCGGCAATCTTTTCCCTTAGGTTTTTCCAAAAGACGACAACACTCCACCTCGATCAATACGCGTTATTCTAGAAAGATCAGATATTCCATGGCGGCCTCATCATCATCGCCGTTGTCCTCTTTCATCTTTTCCGGTGACAACCGTCACAACACAGCGTCTTATGCATCGCAAGGCACCACAACGTCATCATTTTCTTCAGTTGTATCACGTTCAAATGTTACCGGCGACGAAAAATTCAGCGTTATGAAAATAAATACTGAGACYGGAGCGATTCGAAGGATCCAAATGTGCCAGAGTGAAATTATGGTGCAAACAACCTTGTCACCACGAGACCTTGTTAGTCTGCGGCTGACATCTAAAAAAGAACGACGGGAGAATAGGGTTGGGAAATCATTGGTGGAACAAATGAGGCATCCTCCGACCATCATGGCGAGAAACAAGTTTATCCTCCTTTCTATGGGTCCCGTGAGAGCAGTGGCCGAACCAGATGCCGTCTATGTTTTTGATGTTCACAGCAAAGCCGCTAGGTTGTTTGCTACAGATTTAGCCAAAGTTTACGAGGAGAGGTCSGAAGCAATAAAAAACAAGACCTTACTCAACCACGAAGAGCCGACCGAATTGGTATTCTTGGAAACTGTCCTCACGGACGCAGTAGATTCCTTTACCGGCAGAATACGGATTTTCGAGCCAATCGTTAACGACTTGCTTCTCCGAATCTCCCTAGATGTAGAGGATGTTTCAAACACAAATACAATCCACCAAATGGCTCCGCTAAAAGAACAACTGCAAAGCTTTGAAATTTTTGTCACGCAGGCCTACGATTGTGTAACGCAATTATTGAACGACGACGAAGCAATGCTGCAGTTGCTATTGACAGAACAAGAAGGTGCGTGATATTGGTGCTGTTCAACTATCACACCCCAGCTCTTTTATTTGCAATGGTTCACAGATAGTTTCTCCACTTGTATGTTGCTATCATATTGCGCTAATTTCAAATGTTTCAGAGGCACGCAGAACCAACACCACGGTTGATTTTGAACGCCACCAACACGTGGAGCATATATTAGGAATATATGCTCGAAGATTTAGTAGTGTTATCCAAGAAGTCAATTACCTTTTGGGGAGGATCGAATCTAGGCAAGAATATATCGAACTTGAGCTCGATCTTTATCGCAATCGATTGATCCGAATGAATGTTGATCTCGCAATACTAGCAACTGCAACCGGTGTTACTACAGCGTTGTCCGGCACATTCGGAATGAACATGGTTAATGGATTTGAAGAATCTCATACAGCCTTCCTTGTAACGAGTGCAACGTCTGCCCTAGCTGCATTGAGCGTGGGTCATTTCTTTCGAAGGATGGTGTCGGGCAATGTGATTCAAMAGCGAGCTCAGGAGCGTATTGGTGAAATCCGAACCATGTCGAATGCCTTATCGGATATGTCTGCCCTGGATTATGCCGTAAAACAAATGATCAGGGGGGAAAACATGAATAAAACCGAGTTCAAGGAGCAGCTCGCGGGAGCCCGGCACTCGAAAACATGTACCGATGAAGAAGTCGATCTTCTTTTTCGTGTTCTTAATACGCACAAAGACGATGTTCTCGACAAAGAAGATTTCGTCGAAAAAAGGGATTCGGGGGAAAGCCCCTAACCTTTGCTGCACACAATGAGGACCTCGAGCTTTTTATCAAAGCTGTTAGGTTGCCAATGCATTGACGTAGTAGCATAACTTTCAACTGTACCTTTAGAGTTTTTCATGGGTATGTGCATATTATATTGGATGGACAAAGTATCACTTTATGCAACTATMCRTGTGGTACTACAATTCTCTCACAGCAACAGTGGGTATCGTGTTCTTGTGAAATAGTCACTGCGACGGTTACGAATGATGACTATTTGATCTGTTTGGTATTTCATATTGACACTCAGAATTCTCTTTACAAATACTGATTCGGTTTYGTTATCAGTAGTTGCCTTAGATTTTGAAGCGGCGTTTTATGTTTTTTCTATTCATGTAGGAGTGCTGTGTAGTCATTTCGTTTTCAATCGGAAAGTGGAGGCAACGGAACTCTTGGTTTRCGGACTCTGCGATAGTTATAATCATAAAATTGATCGAGTTGATTGCGAAGAACCCGGGTTCGAYCCCCTTGCTCCAAATTTGACCCAAAATCTTCGAAGGTGTCAAAATTTTGAGTGACTCTGCTTTCCAGTTGCGGAAAACGAGGATCGTCCTTAGGGCAAGTTTTCAGGTATTCCAGCAATTCGGGGAATTCGCGAGATCCACTGGGCAGYAGCGGTCCTTCTCTGTCCGCCAAACCTTCCCAATCGAAACCCTTGAACCAAGGATGCTGAACGACCTGTTTAAAACCGTTTTCAAACTCGGTGCCGTTCTTGCTGGAACCAATCCGAGATTCTGGACCAGCCAACAGACAAGTCAGAAAATCAATACACTCAGAGCTCAGCTTCGATTCGGTGTCGGCAGGTAATTCCAAGCATTGCCTCCATCGTAAGATCTTGCGACAGGTTTGGACAGGATCCTCCGCATAAAATGGTGTGTAGCCAACGAGACATTCGAACATAATAACCCCCAACGACCACCAATCTACCGCAGTCGTATAAGAATACCCAGAAGCTCCGTTTTGTGCTGCTAATACCTCTGGTGCAATGTAGTCCGGAGTTCCCACCGTCGAGTATGCCATCTAGAAGAAAAATTGTGTCAGTTTTTTGTTCCATTTGTCGATCTGTTCATAAGAACATGGAAAACGGCCTCAYATCTACCCAATCCAAGAACGTACCTCTCGTCGCGTTTTTCCATTCGGCATACTCGTAGGTCTACCGGTCCCATTCCRTTCCTCGATGCCGTTGTCGATAGACATTGCCATTGCATCACCAGGACTGCGGTGCCTCCCGGAGGTCGCGTTTCCTTGACCGGTTTCATCAGCATCGTTCATGTTTTCTCCTCCGGTCAATATTCCCTGTTCTTTCAACATCTGCAAAACGACATCCGGATCGTCATGGGGACTAACTTCGCCTACTTTTTTGCACAAACCCAAATCTGTCAATTTCAAGTGACCGCGGGCATCCAACAACATGTTGTCTGGTTTGATGTCGCGGTGAATGTATCCAAGGGCGTGAACACTACTGATTGCGTTTGCTGCTTCCGCCATAAAAAACTTAGTAACGCTTTCCGAAAAAGTGTCCTCTTTGATCAATAAGCTCATAAGATCTCCACCGGGCAAGAATTCCATGACCATGTARAGRTGTGTGTCGTCTACAAAGGAAGAATACAAGGACGTTAACCACCTGTTGTCAGAGCTGGCCTTCGCTAGTGCCTCACGTTCCGCTCGAACGTGACCTACTTGGTTTTTCAAAATCATCATTTCTTTTTTCATGCTTTTCAGCGCATAGATTTGAACCGGTTCTTCTCGCTTTGGTTTGCTGCGAACCAACCGCACCTCTCCAAACGCACCGCGTCCGATGACTGCCAGGGATTCGAAATCAGCCGTGGTGATCTTTTTCCGTGATTCCTTTTGAATGAGCATTTCCTCGTGCTCCAAATGACGACGGAGTTGTTGTTTTTTGTCTTCGGTCAAGCCAATCATCTGGCGTTCGAGTTGAACCTGGCGTCCCTTCTTTGCCTCCTGCAAGATGATGCGGCGACGACCGATGCGATCATTGACAAGGACACGAGAAACACGTTGGTGAGTCACAAGGAGTGAAGAGTCATCGACGTTCGGAACAATATTGCATTCGGGAAMGGAAAACARCAACGCAAAGTCACGGTCTTGTTTCTTACCTGTTGCCGTTTCAGTCCTACAAATCGTCGAGAAAGAAGTTCCTTGGCCCTGTTCGCCCGTTCCTCCATCTCTTTGTCCGCCCTCGCGACTGCTTCTTCATCGCTAATGGGACGCGAAGACATGTTGGCGTTTATGTTTTTGCTTTGTTCCTATTGAAAGCCGATTGCCGATKTGTGCTCAAAGCGCCAGAGATATTTTAACAGCCAACCTTTGGGATCTCAACCGAAGTATTCGCTTCCCAAATACTTTCGGGCCGAGATTTGTTTTCTGTCTTCTTYTGAGAACGATATCCTTGTGTCCGCACAACGCTATTACAGCGCTACGGTACTTGGTACTGTACTTTACTGTACGGCATGCCGAAAAATACGGAGACAATTCCASAATTGGAATGCGCGCTGCATGAAAGATGCTTCACCTCGGGCTCTACCAGCTACATACGGTACGGTACCGTACGTACGCTCCGAATGTAAAAAATCCTCTCCTCACTCGTCTCACCTCTCCCAGAACGAGTGCTACTCCGAGTTTGTAAGTACTAGTAGTAATTACGAGTTACTAGTAGTATTCCGTAATCGAAGCGTTCTCTACTGTAAGGGTTGTACGACACGGTAGCAAAATAAAAAAAGGWCCGTACAAGCAATAGTACGAGTAAAGTACCAGGTACCATCCAGTCCATGAAAAACATGATTCGATTTCTTAACGGCTACTACCTTCGAGCATGCGAACTTCAATTCGGTACGCGCACCACGTWGTTTTCCTCCATTTTTCATTCTTGGGATTAAAATACGCGGGACTGGACAGAAGATAAATTTAAAAAAAAATGCTCTGAAGATTGAATCTTTTCGTTCTGTTTAGTTACGTTAGGCTTAGAAATCGTACCGGTAGGTATTCGTGTTGTGCATACGCTACGGTACGAACCGCACCGTAAGCGTCAATACCACAACTGGTGCAAGACAMGACACGAGTACGTACCGYCTCTCGTGTCGTWGCTATTCGGGCTCCCACTCCCACTTCATCAATCCCCTAACACAAACAAAAGTTGATAAAGCATCAAGGCACCGAGTGTAACGACAGYCGTAGCATTCCTAAMAGTCCAATCCAATTCATTGCTCTACGGCAGAATTCTGYWMAAGCAGCCGGAACCATGTCGGTCACAATCCACACGACGAACGGGGATTTGAAATGCGAGATCTTTTGCGACACCTGCCCGCGCACCGCCTTTAACTTTCTCGCTCTGGCGGCGTCTGGCCGATACAACGGAACGATCTTTCATCGCAACATCCGCGGGTTCATGATGCAAGGGGGTGACACGGCCCACGTTACCGGAAAGAAATCCTCCATCTGGGGCAACGACGTTACCTTTCCCGACGAATTCCATCCAAACAACAAGCACGATCGACGCGGAAGGCTCTCAATGGCGAATCGGGGGCCAGAYACCAACAAGGTAAGTCTTTAGGACAACAGATCAAGAATTACAGGTCTACGGTTTTATTTGTGATGCGATTGATGCACTCTTTATCTAATGGGAGCACGGGCACGCASCAGGCAYAATCGATGTGTGCTTCTCTACGGAACACACGAAATCGATGCTAACGTYKTGGAAACGAGAGGATGATTTTCGTTTCGTGCGAACCAATCATCGACTATCGTATWTTTCGACCTSGTTCTAAACCGACTCTTGSGCTTCTCATTTTGTTTGAACCAATTTGTCGGTTGCATCATGAATTGGTTGTCGACTACACATCAGTCACAATTCTTCATTTTGTATGAGCAGCAACCGCATCTAGACAACATGCACACGGTGTTCGGTCAGGTTCTAGACGGGTGGGATACGCTAGACAAATGGGAACGATTGCCGGTGTGGGGAGAGAGGGCACAATCCAGGAGTCAGAAAACGACACCCCTTGAACCACCAGAAATCACTGGTATCACCATTCATGCGAATCCGCTAGCCGACGAAGGCATTGTATATCCTACTCCTTCCGGACCACCAGAGAAGAAATAATCGCTGACTGGGATTTACGAAGCCATCGTCTAAGAATAAGTCGAACAGGATATAAGTTTCCTTTTTGGCTTTCATGGACTACACGTACGGTAGCGTGTGATTTGATTTTTTGAGAAAGCTTTGCGCTTTGCACYATTGGTCAGCCGGCTTACATAGGAGCTAGCACTAAASTTTGAACGGAAAGAATGAGGCAGCACGAATGGATTATCGTTATTTTCGGTGGTATGACGACAACGACTGCTACTCGAAGTCGCCGCGAATAACTTTTCCGACGTCTTCCAGCCCGTTATCTAATCATTTGATTTTGGCTCCCCCAAAGCTGAGGTTTGTGCCAATRTTARTTGTCCCACAGRGCATCCTCGAAGTYACCTGGCCCTGAAAAATATTTGACTGTATCTTTATCGTAGAAATTGCGAATTTTTGATTGATTAGGCGTTCTTGTAGGAATCCARAACCTTGTTGAACAAGGGTTCCATCGCAGCATAGTCTGATTCTGGAGTCTGGGCCGTAATGGTCACCAATACATTTCCGGCTCCCCCGGTCGCTCCGGTTGCCAAGCTAAAAATGGTACGGAAATGGGTCTTTGGTTGCGACGGGACGGATTGAACATAGTCGAAAAAGTAGGCCTGCTTCTTGGATACGGCGCTTAGCATTTCGCTCTCGATGCCCTGCTTCGCGGCAAGCTCGGCTTTTGGAAGAATCGTCGCCTGTCCGACCTCGTCGACCGACTGCAACAGAAAAAATGAACCGCGACGGCCACCGGCCAACACGGATTAAAAACAAAACAACCATGAGTTTTCCTTTGTTTTCACGATGTGAAYCGGAAACGACCGGGAACCGCCGATTCGGCCCTTCCCCATCGAGCAAAATATGGACGTACCCCGAACGACCCCAGCGATGTAAAATCGTCGCGCGTAGGGGTGAAGGCAATGAAGAAAAGTGTCTTCTGGTTGGAGTCGGGTTTGATGTACAGGATGATCTTGCGTCGGTCAGGCAAGGATTGCTCCGTCATGGTCCACTCGGAGGGCAGGTCGATGGAAAATTTGCAGTTGCTGTTCTCGTAGCGAGCCAGCGGCGTCGCGGCAGCGTCCTCGGCAAACACACGAGACGGATCGATMAGCAGTGCCGAGGATCCGGTAACAATTCCTGCGACCGACGACGCAAACCCCCGCCTCGTCTCTCCGTTGGAAACAGAGAATCCACGGACCGCTGTCAAGCTAGCGATMGCCACCAGTGCCAAAGCGAGATAGTTTCTCAGAAACTGGGTCATTTTGAGTGTGCGTAACCCTGTGCTTTTATTGATTGATTCTGTGCCGTGGTTGTCTCTGTTCGTTCCGTGTTCGTACCAAGAAATTCATGGAGCGGTTGGATTATGAGTATCGACCCATTTACTCCGTTACGAACAACTGAGAGAGAATCACCGTGTCTCGAAGTTTCTCGCACGAGTTGAACTAATACCTGCGTCATGTTTCATTCGGATTTGAGAAAATATACTTATTGATCGGAAAAACAGAATGAATCAATCGGGTCACGCATTCGTCAGGTACAGTTTTAGTTTTTCAAAGAGCGCGCGCAAACTTTCAGAAACCCTGCTCATCCCAAAACCGCCGATTTGATGATCAACCAGATATTTCTCCGGAGTTGTCGATCGATCATGGCCGCAATGGAAGCATCTTGAAATACAACTCATGATACAGTAGTGTATTGTCTTCCAGATTTTTTAAGCATTTCATTGTCAACCTTTCGAAAACATTGACTGCGRTCGGTACGGTCACCCACTCATATAGGAAGCGAATACCAAGGCAGTCCTGGATCGAAAAGAAAATGGTGCTGTATGGTCAGGTCGTAGCAGGCCCTCCTGGTTCAGGGAAGACAACCTACTGCACAGGCATGCAGGAGTATCTACGATTGCTGGGAAGAAACGCATGGGTCATCAACCTTGATCCAGCGAACGAAGTTCCGTCAGCGACAAAGAAGTCTACCKTAGAAAAAAATGGTGCGGACGTAGAGGGTGACGAAAAGGATCAAGACGAGTTCGAAAATGATCTGCCCTACGAATGTCTATTGGACGTGTGCAAGAGCGTGGTCAATTTATCGTCGGTGATGAAACAGCTCGGACTGGGTCCCAACGGCGGGTTGGTCTACTGCATGGAGTACCTCGAGGCCCACGTCGACGAGGTGGTAGACATGATCGAAGAACAGATACGGGAACAAGGGGACAACAACGCGTACCTGATTTTCGATTTGCCGGGGCAGATCGAATTGTACACGCACGGGACCGCCGTCCCGCGTCTCCTTGCGAAGCTTGTCAAGGTGTTTGATTTGCGGTTGGTGGCGATCCAGCTCATCGATGCACACTATTGCACAGAGCCCGCCAATTTTCTTTCCGCGGCTTTGCTAGGAACCACCGTCATGCTCAAGCTGGAACTGCCGACYGTCAATGTTCTCAGCAAAATCGATCTGCTTGCCAACTATGGACCACTGCCATTCTCGTTGGAATTCTTCACCGATTGCCAGGATCTAGAACGACTGGTTCCATACCTCCAGCAGCAGGGAGATTTTGATTTGAACGAGAACGAAGACGATTTTACAATATCTACACAGCAATACTTTGACGAGGACAATTATGCCGACGATCCAGAGTATCAACGCGCGCGCAAGATCAAGAGCTCCTCGCCATTCTTCCGAAAGCACACACGACTCCACAAAGTAATGGCCGAGATCGTGGAAGAATTTGGTTTGATTTCGTTTTTGCCGCTTGATATATCCAGTGCTGAATCGGTGGGGAGAGTCGTGGCAAAGATTGACAAATGCAACGGTTATATATTCACTCAACAGGTCAGAGGAGGTTCYGGTTCTTCCAGTAGCTCCGCCAATGGTTCCAATACAACAACTGCTGCTGAAGACCTCTTTCAGTGCGCACTTGAATCCGAACCATCCAACTACGAAGCGATCGCCGATATTCAAGAACGGCTTTCAATAGGGAGAGCAAAGGGCCAACAGAGTGGGCGGCGGGATACATGAACATTCTGAAGACTCGGTATTATTTACGACCGTTGTTTGATTGTCGATTGCTAGATCRTTCCGATTGATTCTTTTCTCCTCTCTATGAAATATATTAATAATCTAACCTATTGGGATGACCTATGTTGTTGATACAAGACAAAAATGTAATCGAAATCAAACGCTGCTATGCAAGTTATTTCCTGTATTTTCTACTTCTATTGCATTTGTCATAGTTGATTCAAACTATYAATATCCTAAAGCTCATCGCTTGCAGCTTCCTCGGCCTTCATTTCACYAACAATCTCATCAATATCTAACGTGACATCTTCACYGTCTACTTCAGGAGGGACATCTTCTTCGACCGGAAGATCGGCATGGTCTTCAAGTTTCAAGGATTCCAAGCCAAGTTCCGATTGAAGGAATTTGAGGATTCGTTTCGAGTGTCCCTCAGGGTTTTCGATTGAAAATCCACCATTCAGAAGGGCCATTTCTTGCAAAAACAGAGCAACATCCTTCGCTTCCCTAGATACCTCGTAGTCCTTGTCGGCATCTTCTGGTGGGGCGCTYTCGAGGAGTTTTGTGATCATTGGGTGACGAGGATTGATTTCGAAAATTTTCATGGATTGCGWGGCAAAGCCATTCTGGCCTGAGCCATACGCTTGTGCACGCATTAGTCGCTCCATGTTGGCAGAGTGTCCGTATTCAGCACTGGAAACGATAGCCGGGGCCGAAATTGATCGTTCAGAAACAGTGACTYTCATGACGGAACGTCCATACAATTTTTTCAACCAAGTTGTAAGAGGCTTGAATTTTTCTTKGTAGAATTTCTGGCGCCGTGTGGCCAAGTCTTTGTCTTCTTTGTCGTCTTCTAATTKAATGCCATCACTAGCAATGTTCTTGAACCTGTGGCCGTCGAAGGAACGAATGTTATCGGCCATGTATTCATCCATAGGTTCCACGAAGTAAAGAACCTCAACTCCTTTTTCGGCGAATTGCTCAAGGAATTGTGACTTCTTTACTTTCTCAATGTCGTCCCCTGCGACAAAGAAAATATCTTTCTGCCATTCCTTCATGTTCTCAACGTACTTCTCCAAGCCAACAAGTCCTCCATCCGATGTAGTACTCTCGTAACGAAGCAATTTGAGAATTTTACTTCTGTTCGGTTCGTCTTCAATGGCACCGACCTTGAGATGAACAGAAAATTGCTTGTACCACTCATTATATTTGTTCGTTGTTGGAGTCTTGTTATCATCATCACCTTCTTCTTCTTCTGCAGCAGCAACTTCGTCGTCGGATTCTTTTTGGAAACTCTTCAACAATTCGAGTGCCTTTCGCACAACCTTCTTCCTGATGATTTTAATAATCTTAGATTCCTGGAGTGTCTCACGACTGACATTCAGAGGCAAATCATCGCTATCTACAACACCCTTCATAAAGTAAAGGTACCGAGGCAGCAATTCATATTCGTCACTAATCAAAACCTTTTTGACATAAAGACTAATTCCGAATTCATCACCATGAGGAATCATTCCATTCATGCCTTGARGGCTATCCATAGGGAGGTACAAAATGGATTTGAAATTGATATTTCCTTCTGCGCTGAAATGCGTCCATAGTTCAGCTTTTTTATTTTCATCCTTTGTGAGCACCTTGAAGAAAGCTTGGTACTCTTCGTCRGTGATGTCTTCCTTCGAGCGAGTCCAGATGGCAGGATTTCCATTCAAAACTTCCCAATCAAAAGTTGTGACTTCCTTTGTTTTCTTTGGCTTTTCTTCAACCTCTTCCTCTTCTGTTACTTCTAAATCATCTCCGTCCGTCTTCTCATCGTCGGCGGCGCTGTCTTCGTCATCCTCCACCTCTACTTCCATCGTAGTTACCGTTCTCAATGATATTGGATGGGTAACAAATTCTGAATAATGCTTTGCAAGTTGGGATAGTTTGTTCTCGTCGGCGTACTCGAGACAGTCCTCTTTGAGAAAAAGTGTGATTTCCGTACCTCTCGTGAGAGTGGTGCCTCGCGGATCTTCGTAAATATTGAATTCAGAAGATCCATTGGCGGAAGTCCAAACGTATTGAGTAGGAGAATTGTAGTGTTTGCTGGCAACCTGGATGCGATCCGCAACGAGGAASGCGGAATAAAAACCAACACCAAATTGACCGATTTGTGAAATTGCTCCGGATTCTTTTCCATCCGATCCTTCTGCTTTCAATGCCTGCAAGAATTTGGTCGTACCACTGCGAGCAACAGTGCCCAGATTAGCAACAAGCTCATCGTGAGTCATACCAATACCTGTGTCTCGGATGGTGAGGGTGTTCGCATCACCATCGTATTCGATTTGAACCTGAAGCTTTTCTTCGCCCTCCAAAAAATCGGGATTTGTAAGCGACAAGAAGCGAATTTTGTCGAGGGCATCGCTGGCATTGGAAATAAGTTCTCTCAAGAAGACATCCTTGTTTTGGTAAAGCGAGTTGACAACGATGTCAAGCATTTTGGATACTTCGGCCTCAAAAGTGAAGGACTCGGCTCCATCAGGAACGGCAATATTGGCAGCAGGGGTTTCTTCGGCGCCAACTAGCATGGAGACCGACGACGAGGCTTCATATTTTTATCAGTTCCCAGAAATAAATTAGAGTTTAACACGTTAGCGCTAGTACCAAAATGAAGTAAGGAAAGATAACCCGTCGACGTATGAYGACGAGTCGTCATGGTGAAAAGCATTGACAATTCACTTACATCTGAAGGGTGTAGGAGCATGACTCACGGCCAGAAGGGCGAGAGCTTTAATGGCGATACGATCAAAACGCATTGTGGTCTTTTTTGGTTGCTTCGAGATAGCTAACGTATAGAGCTTCGTGTTCCTTTCCAGTGAAATTTATGAGCTTTGTCTGAAATGACTTTTCATAGGTTTTTGGTTGATCGGAAGAAAGAGGGAAACACAAGAAACGAGAAACGGAGGAGTCACAGTCACATTTACGAAGAGGCGCGGCGGAACCGWACGACAAGAGCGAAGGGCATGAGATCAATTTTTGTCATCCAAATTTTTACCGCGTGGCAGAAAATTAGGTTGATACGCCCAGCACAGTATTACCGGTACCATACGATACGAACGAGGAACCGTAGTATCTGAGACATCTGCAAAAGATTTCGATGGAAAGTAATACAGTCCATGAATCGATTTTTCAGTCACTAGTCCATCTATGTAGTCGAATGAAACAATCGATCAATGAATTGGAGCCCTCCAATAAAGGAGACGAAACAACCGCGAGAGAGAGCTTCCTAAACTACACTACTGGGAGCTTACGACCCGTAGCACAGCAATAAAGTAAGGAAGGCTATTTCGAAGACGACAATGGTGTTCATCTAGATACTGCATTTGAAGAAGACTAAAGTTGTGGCATAACTGTGTATGATTATCACATAACATAATGAGATTAACAGCGGAGTTAATTGCATCATCCGAGCAACGGACGAATCCTCTTGGGGAACGAGAGATCGTGTTGCGAGGCCTGGCCATTCCTGTCGTTGAGCACTTGGGTGTCACTCGGGACGCTTATGATGCGATGGATTTGACGGACAATAGGCTAACTCGATTGGAAAATTTTCCTCGTCTATTGCGTCTCAGTAGTCTAAGTCTGTCGGGTAACATCATTGAAGCAATCGATTCAAGTAACCTATCCAAGAATTTACCCAACCTCCAATACTTGGACTTATCACACAACCACATATCAAAGCTTCACGAAATTTCCAATCTAGGAAAGGCATACCATAATAGCAATGCTAAGAAATCCGAGAGTCATTCGAGCAAAGGGAATCTTGAATGTTTGAATCTGCATGGCAATCCTGTCCAAAGTGAGTAGTTACCAGAAGAACTATGGAATTTATTTTCATTGTCCTTCCCCGCAGTGCCAAGCTGATTCGTTACGTTTGATATTCAAAAAAACCTTGATGTACGCTTAAGKATGCATGAGATATYATAAATGAATCTGACAAAGCACTCGTGGTTTGATCAAAGAATCCTACGTATGGTATCTCGTTTCATTCACTCAACGGTGGTGCGAAAGAGTTTACGCAATAGGTTTTTTTGTGTCCTTGCAGCAAGACTTTGTGAAACTGATTTAACTGAATTGGATATATCTGATTTTTTCTCATCATTTTGCCTCCCCATCATTTAAAATGACATTATAGGGCGGCAGCACTATCGATTGTACACTATACATAGTATTCCTTCGCTRAAAGTTCTAGATCACCAAAGGATAACCAAATCAGAAAGAGATCGTGCTCGAAGATTAGCTGTGTCCGCAGCAGGGGCTGCCCTAGAGAGTGACGTGCAGGACGAAGCGGGAAAGTCGAAAACGTTCACTCCAGGCGAAGGCGCGTCGGCGGARCAGTCTTTCGTGGTAAATTTCACTGTCGAAGAAAAGGAACTGATTCGAGAAATGGTGGCCAATGCAGAATCTCCCGCGGACATTGAGGAAATTGAGCGTTCGGTTCAGAGGGGAGTCCTCCCAATTAAATATTTGAAGAAAACAGATGCCATACAAAGAAAAGATGTGGATGAAAATGAAACCAATAGTCGCAAGCGATCTCTTCCAGTGCCTGAGAGCGGAGAGAATCAAAGTAATGAAAGCGAGAAAAAAATAAAACATGGTCAATGATTGCTCTATGAAATTAAGTTAACCCTAGTTTTCAACGGCTATGGTGACTAAATCTTGCAATATTATTTCGCTCAAGTCACATCGCGTATGTCTACTTCCAACTATTGGATTATGTTTCACCGACTGACTCYAAGTTCCAATCCTTTCCCAGATTAGAAGGCACTAAAGACGAAGGTCCATTGCCAATTTTCTTTTTATTGATATGGATTTCAAAAGAATGTCTTCCTCAAGTCCTTGTATAAACGGAAAAATATCGCAGGCTTCTTGTTCAAGCAACCCCAAAAGTCTGAGCTTCGTTATAGATACCAAAGGGTGATCCATCCTTCCCAAGTTCGGTCCCAGAATGGGTGCCAACTGACAAATCATCATCCTAGCGTGTAAAGAAGTGTAACCCTTCCCTCCGGAATATTCTGGTTSAGTCAGATGCCTCTCGACTTGCTCTTCTATGAGAAATTGGCATTTCATTTCGGCAGCTGATACGACTTTCATAGCCGTGGGTCCAACCGGAATTTCTCTTTGATGAAGGGGCTTCACGTATTGCAGACACGCCACTGAAGTTGCGAGGTCATTTGTCAAAATGAGAAGTTCTACCACCATATTATGTTGTTTTATTAGATTCAGTTTCGACTGAATCATAATTGCATGGTTATTCATTGCAAGTGTATCTGAAAGCATTTGYACTGGCAGTCCAAGCGGTGCTGGGACAATTTCATTTCGCGGTGAACTTTCAGGAAATCGAGGAAGGACAGGCTTATAAGGAATTTTCGGTTGACCGAACATGGCGTTTGTGGTGTTGCTACTCTGCATATTTTGGTTTTTATAGTCTCTGTATTCAAGAGCAGGTGTTGGTTCGGATTGATCTACCTTCGACCGTGGATTCGTTATACCCATAGACGCATACCACGAAGCTGGTACTTTTAAGACTCTTTTTTTGGAAGTTGTGTCGGAAGTTGCTGGTGCTAATCCTTTTTCTGGTATAAAATGGGAACTTCTGGATACGTTCAATGATACCGGTGGCTTTGATAATACAGGATGTGGCTGATATTCTTCTTCTTCTGTCGAGCCACTGATTCTTTGATGTACTTTCACAAAGTCCTGGCTATGCTTGTGGGGATCGCAGATCTTCATGCTTTGATTCTTTTTATCTTTCGTTGCTCTTGAATATTTGAAGTTCCCGACTAAATCATCGGGTGAGATCCACAGTGTCTTCTTACCTCCGTCTTCTATCAAAAGGTTTTCGACTAAAACCGCCCCGGATTTTTCGTCAATTTGGACTAATTTGCAAGGGAGATTCATCTCTCTTTCGTAGCATGTSCTGTCAGAAGAACAAAAACGCAACTGATGAGAGACAAAGGCGCATCACAACCACATTGCAGGTCTACTTGTTTCTCAAACTTACGCTCCCTCTACTAGATCGGTTCTAACACGGAAAGCACCATTTGCGAAAACACGCTTATTCAAATAAAATTTGTTTTCAATAAATTTGCGTTCGCCATTGGTTTTCACATTTTCTTCACTTTCATCGTCAAAGAATCTAATGCTCCCGTTATTTGAACATAGAACCCCCGTTCGGTAAATCTTCTTTTCACCATAGACTGGATTTGGCCTTGTATACCAAAGATATGAGATGAGTTGTCCAGGTTGCGGGATAATGTAAGTATCATCATCCTTTGGTTCAAAAGGTGGTGGCACATGGGATTCTCGTTTTATTGTCTCCAATTTCTCATTATTCATTTTCAATCGATCGGAGGCTCTCTTTACTCCTGCGCATCGAGCAAGTTGTCGAATTTCTGGGTGATTCCTTTTCAAACGCCGTCTTTGCTTCGAACAATATCGTGGTCTCTTGATGAAAACATCGGATATTTTTATTTCGCTCTCGTGTTCTGAAGTTAAAGAACATCTCCAATGTTTTGTCGCTCTCTTCCGCTCATTATTCTTTCTTTCTCGCTCAATTCGCTTTTTCCTTTGCCTTTTTAATGTGGGCTGAAGAAGGAGGTTATGCTCTATCGTTGTTGACGGTTTCTGCCAGTCGTGTTGGAGTGTTTTCCGAGTTGATCGCCTTTTCGATGGTACGGGGACCTTGAACACTTTTTTCCCCAATTCGAGCCTCTGCCTTTTCACGGGCTCGATAGGCCTGCCAATTTTTTCTGGAGGCGAGAACATTTGTACAGCCGATATCTTGATCAACTATCGAACGATTACTGATGGCTTTCCATTCGATTTTTATCAGAAAAAAAAACAGCTCCTCTTGAGAAAAACACACGTAATTGAAATTTGTTCCTTGAAAAGGAAAGGGGAGGATAATGTAACTTTCGTCTAGGAAGAATTAATGTACCGTTCGTAGAAGAAAAGGTACGTTTGTACTGAACTTTCGTACGGTACGGAAGCCCGATTTTAGGTACGCTCAGGTAGCCAGGGGTCTGACGGTACGTAGCTACAACATGATGGTTGACACAAAGCAGATCTGAGTTTCAAATTACTCGAAGTAACAAATGGTGCGCGAAGCTATCGCACTACGTACGTAACGGACATCTCTGCAATTCTGTTTCGCTCTTCATGAACATCCTGAAGGGGATTGGGAAACAAGCTTTTTGCATTTTACTCATAACCTGTTATATCGGAGCTCCAATTCGTGCACGTCCCACTCGATAGTCGATTCATCTGCCGGTGCCTAACGTACGAGTAGTACGTACGTGAGCGTACTTTCAGTAAATTTTACCGAAATACGARTRCGGGTTCTTCAATACTACCGTAAACTATGGTACCAGGTACCGTACTTTGTATTCCGCATCATTTTGCGAGCCAGGCCGCGCGCCATCCGTCTCAGGTTGAAAACGGTTAGTCTAAAGCAGTTAAAAACTAGCTGCGCCCGTAATTCCCGTTGCTCGATAATCGTAATATGGCTTAAGTACATGTGTCACTGTTGCTAACGTATAATCATTACGTTGTACAGCAGATATTTTGAGTATGTAGTACACAGTGTAGCAGACAAGCACAATGACCAAAGACGGAGAAGAAGTCAATAGAACACASCGTAGCGGTGGCGTTAAAGAGCAAGGAGGGGTACCAACTCGTTCGATCAAAGACTACGGTACCATGTTCTCCTTTGGAAGCAAGCGAGAGGACCTTGTTCATGTTGCTCCAGACAGATCGTCAATCGCAGGCAATCCATATCAGCAGTATCAACTAGCRCGTCGAAACAGCGCCCCCCGACCGGGTGAACAAAAGGATCCACGAAGTGGAAGCGTGGGAACAAAGGGTCGGATGTTTTACAAAGGCAAGAAATCAAGCACGATAAACAGCAAGGGCGTCTCTAAATCCCCTGGCCAACGGCCACAAGAGGGTAAACGATACTCTACGAGTAATGGAGGAAGTCAGCGTAATATTCGTACCAATGATAACATGCCAGATGTAAGCGTCAACGAGACATCGAATGGGATAGAAGTATCCTTTCCTGGCATTCAATCCTCTGGAAATGCTCTTGGAAACAAAATTAATGCGATGAAAGTGAAACCTGTAATTTCTCTGAAAGAACGTATTCGGGAGCGTCAAAGAGTATATAAAAATCAATTTTCTACTGTAGTAGCGACATCTAGCAATGTCACTTCTACTGCTGCGAATGCGAACAACTGGAGGCCGAAGGGGCATAGGATTCCGTTGCTAGGGATCTCTGCAGTCGACACGGCGTATGCAGATGCGCTGCAGTTGCTTAAAGATGCACCTGCTGTCGACGAACGGAAAGCTGTGCAACAAGAGTTAAGTATGCTTGAAACCGAGCTTTCTTCGTTGCAACAAGATCGAATGTGGTTGAAACAAGGCATGAACGTCAGTAGAAGTAATGCCGGGAGCGATAGTATTGGTAACAAGGAAAATGTTTCGGGCACGTGGAACACCCACAAGTTGCTAAAAGACGATGCTACCAAAAAGCAACCTTTGTCGGTATCTGAGCGAAGCGCACTTCAAAAGCAACGTGGGACTTCCATCACGATTCATTTCAGAAATGCCAACACGAAGGAAATCTTGGTTCACAATATTGTCGGCGAGCAGCATAGTGCACAGATAACAAGTCTGTGCAAGAATGATCACAGCATCACAACAATCATGCCAGCCAACAATCGCTCCGTAGAAAGCGCAGCGATGAATTTTCAGCATGCGAATTTGCTTTCCGCCACGGATTCAAAGTCGATTGATTCGGGCTTTTACGTCTCTCGAGATGTCGGTCAGTCGCAAATTATTGGGAAATTGCCAAATCGACTTGCTCGTCGGTTTCAGCATGATGAAGGAGTAACTACTGATGCAGCCGAACGACCAAAAGTCGAGGATTTGATGTATCTAAGCACTGGTTCACTTGGGTGTTATTTTGCCAAATTTCAGTCTGGAGAATGTTGGTGGGGGTCAGCCGCCGAGGATCCTGATTTTCAGTATGTTATGCAATCGTGGGATGTTTATCGAGTAGCTTTTGGTCCGATTGAGACTATCCAAGTTTATCAACCGGAGCAGCATCCCTCGTCCAAAAACAGTGGTGTCAGGTACAARTCATTACCTAGTAACTCGTGGATCATTTTGAGTCACGATGGAAGAGCGGTTTGGAAAAATCTGCCCTCACAGCTCTCAAAGATATTGGAACGTAGAATGGCAAATTCGGCAGCACCTGTGGAGGTCTCATTAGGACCAGGAGATTCCTACTTCGTACGTTTTTTGGATGGTTCTATCGATTATTCCTTGCCATCTAAGATCGCACGAGCATGCGAACGAATCGAGGAGAGGGGTGGAACGATCACCAATGTTTGTCTGCATCCTGACATATCTCATGACTTCATCATTCGTCATACTGAATTGACGAGGTGATTTTATGGTGAAAATGAAACGATGTGCAAAACATAGATAATGCATAAGCAATACCTACGGCGGGGKCAGGATTATTCGCGTTGATCCCAACGCCAACGCCATTTTGCCACGCTACACGTAAYTAACAGCGTGTAACATAATTACAATATAGTCACAACAGCTGTATTCCATGATTTCGCGTTCACTTATCTCACATTCTTGAGAATGTAGGTAGTGCTTACAAATAAGTATTCCAATACACGAAGCGTAAAATGCAATTCCTGGTCGAAGAAGTACGAATGTTCAGGATTAATTTTTGTCCCCYCGCACCATACGTAGTACAGTCCGTCCGTACGTACGGTAGCGGCCCGACGAGACTGGTATGGTATGGTGGACTGGTGATACGGTACGTACGTACGGTATCTATTCCGCTTGATCCAAGTACGTACGTACGGTACGGAAGAGTTAAGAGTGCAAGTACTAGTACGAGTACATATGATTCGTATGGCCAATTCAGCCTTTCGCTGCTAAAATGGAATCAGGAATCTAGAAAATTTATTGAATGAAAATGTGTCCGACCGCTACCATTTATTTTTTCGTAATTATTTTGTCTTCACAAAGAAACACGCGAGTGATGTTAAATGCGATGCAGAACAAGCGGAAAGTACAGGTTCGTAGTGTTCGCCGTCAGTGACTTGTGTTCCTGAATAGGTCTAAGTATTGTAACTCGTACAATTACCTGCCCTCGAAATCACTTGCTTCCGGTCCTACAATAGAATTTTTTTTGGAACGGCATTCTTTTTGTGTCGTGGTCGTGACCGGGAAACGGGTTCAATCAATCGCGTGCTCTGAAAACGCGACATGACATTGTTTGATGGTACTACGTAGCAATTGTACTCGTACGTACAACAATCCATATGCCGAAAGGTGTGAAATTAGCAGCACCAACAATACATGCCAATTTTAAAAAGTTTAATTTTCTGGATGTTTTTCCAATAAATTTCGCCTTGCAATCGCAAACTGAAACAGAAAAAAATTGAAAGCGCCTTAAACAAACAGCCTCCCTCTCTACTTGACTCGAAAGAAAAAGACCGAGAGGGATTAGGAAAGAGGAAGAATAGCTTGAAGTTCAGGCATTGCTTGGGCAAAACGAATCAGAAGAATTAACTCAGCAGTCGACATTACCGATGGCTTCGCAAGCTGCTCTTGAAAAATCTTCACCAGCAGCTGCCTCGCCGCCGGTGGATTCTAAAACTTCCACAGCTGTTGATTCTACTCCCGATCCTTCCAACTCTGACTCCACYGCAGTTCTGGCTCCCGAAACTACCTCATCTTCCGACATTAAAAGTGATGCTATCAACAAAAACACACCATCTTCCTCTCCATCAATATCAGTACGACCCCGTCGAGGTTCTTCCGATGAGTTTGGTGCAACCGGATCTTTGGGCAGTATCGCCGGGAGTGCCGTGGGATTTGGCGGGAGTAGTGTGGGTTATGATGGTCTTCTATCGGGACTTGGAGTTAGCAGTAACAGCAGTAGTCACGATAAAAACAGCAACAAAGATGGCAAAAACAAGAACAGCGGTAACAGGGATGTCGGTGTGGGCAACAGCAACAATAATAACAACACTATCGGTATTATCAATACCCACAGCAGCCTCAAACATCGAACCTCACCGAATGGAAGGCGGCCTTTTAGAAAACGGAAGGCGTCTGTCGACTTTTCATTTCCCGCATTATCCATTGACGATGGCGATTCCTCGTATTCGGTTTCGCAATTGTTGCCACAACATCACGTGCCAGGATTAGCACCGAAAGGACCCATGGCAGCAGCAGGTGTAGCAGTATCTTCGTCGTCGGTGCTCATGCTTCCATCGAATGCCAACCGCAGCCGTCTATACTCGGATCTTACAATACCTGAGTCCTTGTTGGCATCGACACCCAAAAATAATCCAAATTCCTCGTCATCTTCGAAACAACAAAGGCTGCAGCAGCATCAACAGCAGCAAAAGGAAAAAGATAAAGACAATCCGCAGAAACCCAATCAAGACCAACCACCTAATGACGACAAACACCAAAAAATTTTGCAATCCGTAGATGCTCTACCAGCAATGGGAGAAGATGATTCAATACCCCCGATTGACAACGATACGCATTCTCTGTTGGCAAATCATCCTCCTAGTCCAATAAACAGCGCAAACCCAAGTTTTCCAAGTTCTCGAAAAGACCGAGGCCTTTCGTTTGCATCTTTGCACTCACAAGGACAAGGCCTTGATCGATTGGATAACTTGGGAGTCGAAGCAGCCATATCCGCGGCTAGAATAAGAAAGGGATCTTCGGTGGAGTCCGACAATAAAAGTCAAACTTCAAAAGATACGAGCTACGATGGCACATTGGGTTCTCAATCCCACCGCTTTTTGATGGAGGCATTTTTGGGGGACGGAACAGAAAGTCTTGTATTGAATCCATCACAGCGGGAGCGATTGGCAAGTTTTGATGCCGCTACCGAGGCTGCCGGAAAGCCACCACATGTCGCTAGCAGCAGTAAAGACAATCACGGCAATTCTCACCAAAACATGAACAATACGCTCATGTCGCGAGAACGTCTAAATAGTATTGGGGGAAGACGGAATCGGTTAGAATCCTGGGGTGGAATGTCTGACCTATCTGTCGGAAATTTTAGGGCGGATCAAAATTTAGAGAGTTTCGGGTTTGGATTTCTCACAGGCGACACCAAAAATAACAGCAACAATAATAATTCTCCTGCCGCCGTCGCTTCTTCACCAGCAGCAGGAGCATCAACAGACAAAACTGCAGCATTAGCAGCTACAATTTACACAAGTTTGGCCAATGATGTAACAGGAGCAGCAAATGCTGACGGAGGTGAATCTGTCTCATCATTTTTTGTCAATGATGAAAGGATACCAACAAAGATATCAATCAATAATCGAGATCGCTTGAACTCAATAGCATCGATTGGCACAGATGCATCCGCTTTGCTTCGATATTCCGCAATGAATGGAGAACTCACTGATGCCGAATTTCCAGCTGATGTTCATACATTTATTCAGGCTACTATGAATTCTGTTGAAGATCAATTAGCAGATTTAGCAACAGCAGTGGAAGCAGTATCAAAAGACACGAAAGGGGATAACGACAGTGAAATAAGTAGCACTGCATCACCTCTTATTGGAGCTGCCTCTGACGTCGGTTCCAACAGATCAACAGACTCGTTGACAGGTCGTCCTAGATCTTCTTCGATTAATTCTATGTTGCAGATATCTGTTGACTATGATGCTGTTGCGGCTGCTGTCCATGCGGCAGAGGCCGCTGCTGGTTGTCTCGATCTAACGAATTTTTCATTAGCCGACGGTTCTTCAACTTCATCTCTCGGGTCACAAAGGAATCACAAGAAGCGGTCACTTCCAATTCACAAAAAACCGCCTCGCATCAATAAGAAAAAAGGGGCCTCAATGGGAACTTCGAAGAAGAAACGAGCCTCTATCACAGAATCATTGGCGTCAGCTAAGAGACAGTGCGTTGATTTTTGCCAGAAATCGCAATCACCAACCCTAACCAAAATGGACGACCAAGAAATGGCYAAACTACGAGAACGAGCGAGAGCAGCAGCAGGCTATGTACCTCCAGTTGGCGGCAACGGTTCGGTCAAAATGAGCGGGTTGCCACCCAAAAAACGCAGCTCTCTCGCACCTACGACACCGCTGCATCCTGCACGACCCTCTATTGCGGGAAGTGCAAATAATTTCAATACGCCGACCATTTCAAACACGGCTGCCTCAAAACACACAACTCCTGGTTCTCTATACAGTAGTGGAACGCCAGCATCATCTACCAAGGGACAATCGAGTCAAAAATGGGAATCTATGTTCGAATGTCTCTTGCAATTTATTGAGCAACGAAGGGAGGATTCAACAGCCGGTATGACGGAGGAACAAAAGTCGGAGTGGACGTGGGATGGTAATGTTCCCACGACGTACAAAACAAAAGACGGAAAAGCCCTTGGTCGATGGGTGAACAATCAACGTTCCGCCAAAAGTAAGGGCACCCTCAAAGAAGAACGGGAGAAACGTCTTGTAGACGCTGGTCTGAAGTGGAGTGTGTTGGCATCTAATTCTTGGAATGAAATGTTGGAGGAACTTCGTCTTTATGTTGCAGATCAGAATAAGCAGGGGAAAAAATGGGATGGCAATGGTAAGACCTGTCAGCTGTCTAGCGTCTATAGAAGTAGAGAGAGCAAAACTAACTTGCGTTTCTTTCGTGCCGTTGTATGATTGCTCTCCGACGTTTCCCGGTATAGTTCCAACAAATTTCCGAATTAAGGTTACAAAAGATAAAACCAAGTCTTTTCTCAAAGATGATGACGAAGATAAGAATCTAGGTCGGTGGGTAAATCGACAACGAAGTATGTTCCAAGCTGGAAAGCTTCGTAAAGATCGTCAATTAGCTTTGGAAAAAATCGGTTTGAAGTGGTCCATGTTGGCAACAACATCTTGGGAATCAATGTTTGAAACTCTTTGCCAATATATCAAGGAAAAGAAGAAGGGCGGAAATGAATGGGACGGAAATGTTCCAGCAAACTACAGGACAGAAGACAACCCTCCCAGAGCTCTGGGACGGTGGATTAATCGTCAGCGGTCCGCCTATGGGAAGAGCAAACTGAAACCAGAGTATGTTGTTAAGTTGAATGAAATCGGTTTGAAATGGTCGATTCACGAAAGGCGGCCCACTTACCATCAATATAAGGCAGACGGTTCGAAGAGCTCCTCGGCGAAGGCTACAGCAGCTTCGAATGCTGCAAAACCTCCACCATCGAAAAAGGGAACACAACCTGCAGTGCCCGCAGCACAAAAGGCCTCAAAATCTCCAGTCACCGCACAACAAAACGCCGTGAAGTCTTCAACACCAGCATCACAAACCGGTGCAAAGCCACCATCTGCTGTAACAGAAAGCTCTGTGAAGTCCCCACCAGCAGTGCTACAAAGCGGGCCAAAAGCTACACCAATTAYGGTACAAAGTGCTCCAAAWCCTACATCAAGTGTAGTGCCAAGTACAACAGCAACTATCCCAACTACTGTACAAAGCTCTGCGAAAACCCTCGCAACCGTGGCACAAAACTCTATGAAACCCCCCCCAACAGGAACACAAAACGCTACAAAACCTATCGCAACTGTAGCCCAGAACGCAACAAAACCTCCGGTCGTTGCAACACAAGCCAATCCAGCAAAACCTGTGGCAACGCCGCAAAAGACCGAATTAAATCCGTCTCAGACAGTCGTGTCCARTCCTGCGATAAAGACGGAGGTTTCAAATGACTCTGGCACAATCGTGTCCGGCAACCCCCATTCTCGGATCAAGAAGGCACCAAAYGAATCCAGGTCGTCAAAAGTTGATGAGAAGTCGAAACCATCCAGTCCTAGACCAATGGCTAKKGCACCTGGTATTGAAACGATGAAGACTGATAGTGCCATCAATGGAAATCCAGCATCAGGAGATCTGAAAAGCATACCAGAGGTCAAAGAGGAACTTTGATCCATTTTCTTCCCAGTTTCGGCTCGAGGTCCAACGCCAACGAACCAAGTTATGGCGATTCACAAAGAATTTCGGAAGGAAGCAAGAGGCGATTGAACTATGCCTTGACTTGAAACGAAAGATTCGAGTTGSCAGTCGGTCGAACATGTACTAATAAAAATCACAGATTTTTGTAACAGATTGTTTGTTTTCTTACTAATACTCTGAATTTGTSAGGATTTTGCCTAATTTTTTCTSTTAACTAGGTAGATGTTGCACAGGTAGAAAGTCATGTGGAGTAGCAAGGGATGATCACCAATCCAGAAAATTCGGTGTTGGCAGAACGAACGATGATGCTCTACTTGAAAGAAGATTGCTGGTATAGTTYGTTCACCTTGTATGATACGGTAGCTCTATAATGTATTTGAAATGGTTGTAATTGCATCTGGATTGTTTACAAGTTGTTGACAGCCCAAACTCCGAAGGCGATGGTAGCAGCGACTCCACCGAAACTGAAGATGAGAATTGGGGCATCACCTCCATCGAGAGTAGTTCCTACACGATCTCCCACTTTCTTTGCATATCGGCGACGAGGGCCCGAGCACTGCGGGCATCGGAAACCTACACCTTGTTCTGATATATTTGAAAARCAAAAAGGTGTCAGGTCAGAAAATATGCGTCATGGACGTCCTCATTCGCAGGTGTTCCAACAGTATATCGCTATTGAAGAGACGTACCCTCGAAGAACAGACCGGCGCATTCAGACCGCTGGTAAATGTATCCGCAATCTTTGCACACCCATTCACCTTCCCAGTACATGGCGGCCTTAGCGGCTTCTTCTTCCTGTTGAGCCTTCGACTTCTTCTTTCCAAAGACATTCAAACTCGTGCTCGACGTCGYTGGCGCCACGGAAGTCACCTGMGATTGTGAAATCGCAGACGGACGGACAACAAAGGCAGATGTTGTCGAAAAAGACAAGCACACAAAAGCAAGTAGAAGAGAGAGGAGAGTTGATGGAGATTTCATGGTGGTATCGTAGCAGTRAAGGGGAAGGAATGGAAGAAAATGTATTATGTCAAATAATCAAATAAGCATCGGCTGCTGCAGAACAGGGTCTCGTTAATTCGCTCGCAAGGACTTCGATAAAACCGATTTGCCTGTAGTGGTGGATCTGGACCGCGTCACATACCTCTACTTCGGTAAGTTTCTGATACACATCATGCCCGCCTACTGTAAGGGTTGGAGTCTCAAAAAAGAGAATTTGTGATTGATGTGGCGGAGACGTGGGTATGGGCAAARGTAACGAGAGACTGACTCACTCGACTACTTTATTCAACAAAAACACTTACGTCAGAGCTCAACAGGACTCAAACCAGTCCCGAGTAATGACTTCGCTAATAAATCCAGTCCCGAGTTAACAATAACAATTCATTCATCAATCAATCGTGATCAGCATCGGTTTGAATTCCATCCATTGCAATCGCATCATCTTAATGTTCACCTCGATCTCAAAAAAAGAAAGGTCGGCATCGACAATGTTATGCCCAGAACTAGATCTGAGAACCGAATWGCAGCTAAAAAGACATCGTTGCATTACTATAGAATTTGAACAAGGAKATTCATAAATGAGGCCGAGATTAAAGATATCCTATATTCGAAAAGGSAGAGACCTCGTGTCCGGGTGTCGGTCGTCTTCGACCTTCCATTTTTCGCAAACGAGCTTGATGCCACAATCGGCGTCGACAATTACTTCAAGATCCTCCTTCAATGGTTCCCGGATAGATAGGYCATCGGCACATAGCGAGATATTAYCTCTTTTGTCGGTCCGTAATTMTTTTACTACTTGTCCTGTGACAGCATCCGAGGACGAAGATGATTTTCATAGCGAAATCTCTGCTGGTATGAATGAAGCGGCCCAAATCCTTTACCCTGACRAAGAAATCAAGGAYGTTAATRGTGATGCCAAGAATCGGATCTGGATGGACCCTGATTCGCCACTTGAACAACGTGTCGGTCGTTTCATCAACCAACCACTGGGATCTATGCATCACCTCGACATTAAGCTCACATCTATAGATTTGATCAAGGCCTGCGGAAAACAGAACTCCTTCGAGGGAATGAAGAACGCCCAGGAAATTCTTGATCGGCTGATTGAAGAGAAAAAGTACGTCAACGAGTCGTCCGACGACGCTTGGCCTCTCGTTATCGTCCCYGATCGTCCATTCAAAATGGTGATGTACGGATGGTCAAACATGTGCAAAAAAGTAAAAATCGCACCGCAGAGAATACGAGAGGTCCTCGATCTGATGATCGAAGAAGCGGACTATGACAAAAGATTGAGACAAAAGGTCAGCAGTGGTCGAATTAAGAATGATAACGAATATGATGAAAGAGATAGCGAGGGCGAGGGCGACGGTGACGGTGTCAGTTACGACAACACACAGGATGATGTGTTCGAGGGATTATCTTGTGAGCCAACGGTTGATATATACAATACACTCCTTCAGGGACTTTCGCAAGCTGCATCGCGGTCCATCCAAGCAGCAATCGAAGCAGAACATGTATTGAAAATAATGGATAAAGCGTATCGAAATCGGGGATGGCACACCAAACCAAATACGCGTAGCTATTCCCTAGTTTTGAAYGCATATRCAAAGTCTCGACATGCCACTGCTGGAGATCGCGCCGAATCTTTGCTTGGAGACATGATAGCACGACACGAACTGGAAAAGGATGAATATTTGGAAGAATACGGGGTTCAATACAACATCTTTGAACCAGAGACCAACCGTAGAAACATWGTTACGCCCGATGCGATTGCGTATACCACGGTAATTCAAGCCCATGTCAACAGCGAATCGACTGAATCAGCGAACAGGTCATTGAATCTTTTGGAAGAAATGATCAATTCCGACAGTCCTTTGTTGGAACCTGACCCATTTGCGTTCTCGAGCACAATCAATGCTTTCTCTAAAATGGCAACCCGAAAGAAATCCCCCAAGGACAGAKTCGAAGCAGCAGAGTGCGCCGAAGACATCCTTTGGATGATGGTGGACGAGATGAAGAACAACGCAGAATCCAGCAAACTTACCGGGAGTATAGTTCCATTCAATGCTTGTCTGAATGCATGGGCCCAGAGTTTTACATCCGAATCGCCAAACCGTGCCGATGATTTGCTACATCGTATGATGGATCCCGAATTGCAAGCATTAGCGGACATTTATCCAAACACGGTTTCATTCAACACTTGCATGCAAGCATGGGCCAAGGCCTGTAAATTTGAAGATTCTGCAACTCCAGAGAAGGCTGAAGAGCTCCTGAATTTGCTCATAGAATTATCGAAGGAAAATGGGAATAATCCACACTCCGAGAAGAGATGGGAGCTAGGACCCGATCTTCGATCCTACGTCATCGTAATGAATGCATATGCATTATCCCGACACGAGGATAGTGTTTTTCACGCTCGTCGGTTGTTGTCGGATCTCATTGAAGGACGAGGGAAATATTTTGACACTGGTAGAAATGACAAGATGAATGCTTCYCCTTTTACAATAATACTAAAGGCTGCAGGAAACACCAAAGCAACSGACTTTAGCTCAGACAATTCAGAGGCGGAAGAAGACGCTTTTGGCTCACTTGGTGATACAGAACAACAAAGCTCTCTATTGCTAGATCCTTACTCGATTGCTCTAAAGACATATACTGAGCTACTGAAAGACACCTACGATCTTGGCGTCAGCGCCGACCATTTTGCCTTTGCCGAAATGTTGGCCGTGGTTGAAAAGCACACAGCAGTCGAATCCATCGAGCGCCGACAGCGAATCGAAGAAATCTTTGGCGATGCCTGTCAGGCTGGCCAGGTGAGTTCTCTGGTGGTCCGTGCAGTGCAAAAAGCTTGTCCTAACGATACCATGCTACGAGAAGTTCTCCGAATACGGGCGAATGACTCGGTAGCGTCGATTGAAAGCATCAACACATTCCCTAGACAATGGACGGCAAGCGTGCCGCAAGAGTTTCGTCGGGTCAACAGTCGCAATGAGCATTTTCGGAAGCAGTCAAAGTTCTTTCGCGCGAACAAGCAGAGGCGGAAGAAGAATCACGGCAAAAAAAATCGTTTGGTACGACTTCCAGAGCAACATAACAAAGATTATAGATAGTTATCACCTCCAYCTAGATATCAYAAGGTGCAATTTTCAACATCTTATCAATACATTGCAATATCCTGAGCGTATCCAGCAATGGGTCATCATAAGTGGTTGCTGTGAATCAGCTGGTCTACGTGACTTTGTTGCGTGCATCTGGCGCAGCTTGTTTTAAAGTCCTAACACTGCGGTGTGCCACAACGTCCCAGTTCATTTTTGTCTTGGTGACTGGTAGGACCCGACGAATCGATTTCATATGATSGCTAGAAATGGAGTCATTCATGGATTCTAGAATCCCTAATATGATTGTTTCCCATTTCATGATTTGCTTAACCATGCCAGTCACCAAGGATGGTTCCTCRGCTTCTTTAAGGGCAGTCTTGCCCACCAGAACTGCGGGGAATACCTTGTCGATTTTCAGCTGGACGTTCCCATCTTCATAAGCGGACGAATGAACAGCAACCTGCCCAGATATTTCTCCCGTATCCGACTGAACGTTTCCGATCGTCCATGTAGCCTTCCAGTGAGCAGAGTATTGATTTGGCGCATCGAATTTCTCGGCGTATGTGTGCACGAGAAGTAGGTCGCCGTCTCCCTTTGTCATGGCTAAACGTGCCGACACGCCTGGTTTGCTCAAAAAGTTGTCCTTCTGGTATTGTTCGATTTTTTCGTGCAATGGCTTCGCGAAAGGGTGCTGGTCCAGGTCATTCGCGTGTATATCTATGCATTGAAAATCCTTCACTTCCTTTTGCACATCGGCAATCCAATCGCTACTAGCCGAAAGAGCCCGCACGCTCTCGGCTACGGCATCTGATTGTCCCGGGGCGGCCRCCCTTACAATGAATTTAGCGGCTTCTTYCGACATGATATTTTATTTCCGATTACTCTTTGATGAATTGGCAGCGATGCTGATTCTCAAAGGCGATTCGAGAGATTGTAAAGCGGGAAATATTAGGGAACAGATAGTTGTCTTGCTGCTCGTTTTAGTTTGTTGACCTCTGGAGCAGTAGGTGTTATGACACGATAGAATCTGTCGAGCACGTAGTCATAACAGAGCGTTTCTTGTGTTCGTAAGAGTCGGTATGAAATAGCACAAACAAACGGATACTGGTAAAAAAAGCTCAAGAGTTGTTTTGATCCTGGAATAAAAAAAGCGCCGTCCCGGCATGCGGTGTTTGAATATTCTAGTACCATAACTTACGTACCGTGCAGCCCAATACAGTACAGTACGTATGGAACATTACTGGAAATCCTGTAATGCTTATGCAGTTCGTACGGTACAGTACTACCGGTACAGTACCAGGTACGATACCGTAAACTGAGAAAACAAGGGGGTCATCCTCAACTGTTTCTAGGCATTAGAGCTATTTGGGAAAAGGATTGACGACCAGACGTGCAAAGATGGCCACGAATTTCTTGGCWCTGCTTTTTGCCTTCAGCCTGGAACCTGCAAGATCGGAGAGACAACCGTACGTACCTTACGGTACGGTACGTACACTAACAGAACGCATCACTGGACAATCAGAGAGCTACTACCGTACTACTATGGGTACACGGAAAACTCTGATTGCACGGAGCACGAAGTCCCATTCTTCCCACAATCTCATTTGCTGCCGAGACACCATGGCTGTCTATGCCGTCGGATGATACCGGCCGGTACCGTACGGTACCTCTCGGGGACAATCAACTGGGGGTTTCGCTGTTGTAAGTCCTAGTAACCAGTTCTACGATACACATTGAGGCTTGATCAAACCGTATACATGGAAAAGCTAGTGGAACCCAAACGATGAAATCACTTGCTTTAACAATTTATCATTCATGCGTGTCAACTGATTTCACCGTGATCTAAACGAAGCTGCTGATGGATCCCGGCTTGAAAATACTTGTGGGTTTGGAATGTCTCGGGAATGGATGGTCAGAAATGTAGCGGTGTTTGTTCCGAGTGTTCTCTGACACCAAGACTGCAATGCTCACGCCTCTTGATTTGCTATTATATTCCTGTTTYGTATCCAGAAAGCTCAGCATGGGTCAATTTCAAACGCTTGGTCGTTTCCACAATGTCGTGAGAGATGAACTCTTGTGAACTTCTCACAATTCATCATACCGTTCTTCCTATCGTCGACTTTGGACAAATATGGCCCAAGCTCATTCAGACGTAAGTTGGCTATTATGTTCGAGAGGAAGCGCATTACTCCTCTCGGTGATCGGATTGCTACGGTACCACTATTTACCAAGCTGCCAATGATGATACCCCATCCATATCATAGACCTGTACTGAATCTACCGGTTTAACCTGCCCCGAAAGGGGCACGGTGACTTCCAATTTTTCTGTTGAGAAACGAGATGCACCACCAACTTAGGCATGCTTTTGTGGCGTTCGTTCGATGCTCTTTGTCTGTTTCGGAAACGAACCTCGAACAACCACACGCGTTTTTCTCATCTTGTGCTTTTCTTTCCCGGATGCTTGCAGCTTGGGGATAGGCCGCTCCATCGAAGCAGGAATACCCGTCGGTGTGCTGCATGGTTACGAATCCAGGAGACGCACGGCAAGACAGTTGCGTTCGTGGTCGTATATATTGCTCTGTGACGGGTCTCTACATCTCTTGGAAAAGGGCACGCGGCCCTGCCACGACGTGAACTTCTCACGCATCCCATTCGGTGCCACAAGAAAAAGTGTCGGCAATCACACCACGAAGCGCAGGTGCCTTGAGTCATCTAGACTGAACAACCTTTGTTTAATCAAAACCGGTCATTCCGCCAGCGCATTCGGTTCCATGAAAACGTAGACTTCATATTTTGACGATTTGATAGAACTAGACGGTTTCTTGCTACTAGCAAACAAAGTTATCCGCATCGTAGTCTTTCTATTCTTTTTAGCCATACACTAGAAGTACTACATATGCAAGAGGAAGATGAAGGAGAAGGAAATAAATGCATCGGATGCTTGTGTCGACAGCACCAATCAAAACCATGTTYATCACAGCACCGTTTTGTTGCGAACTATAGTTTCGTTTGCTCATCCGGGGAGGTTGGCGTTGTCCCGTTCGACGTCTCGCTGCATCCGTCTCGCTTGAACCCGTGCCATGGCCTGCCGCTTGGCCTCCTGTTCCTCTATGCGGTGTTGCAGGTCTTCGAGGTATTCCCCAAAGTCCGAGTCCGCGGCCTGCCGGATCTTGCTCCAGAAGTTCTCGATCCCGTCCCCGGTCACCGCCGAGACCCCGCAGGCGTTCTTGCTGAATTCCGTGTAGAACTCGTCRAGCACGAGGGACAAGCTCCGGGTGAGCGAATCGTAGAACCCCGACTCGCCGCCGCCGTCTCCCTCGCTCCGGGCGTTGTCGAGGGCCTCCTGGAAGGCCTCAAAGTCCTGCATCCACTCCATGCAGAACTCGTGCGAGCAAACATCCGTCTTGTTGAAGCAAATCACGAGTGGCAGCCTTGTTCGGTAGTACATGGAACAGGCGTACAGCATGTTGCTCATGAAGGTATTCGGCGAGCTGGCGCACCGAACCGTGTCCACGACAAAGACCATGACGGTGGGAAAGGTAGAGGCGAGCGACTCGCTGAGAATGGCGCCCGAGGCAGACCACGTAAAGGCCTCGATCTGTCCCGGTGTGTCCACCAGCAAGAACTCCGAAAGTTTCTTTTCGTCGGCCCTTTCCTCGAGGATGCGGATGACCTGGTCGAATTTGGTGGCGTAGAGATTGAGGGAGGTCATGATCGCTCCGTTCGGTCCCAGGCGGTGCTGTTTCATGACTTCTTTGTAGTCGACCGTGTCGCGGATGTCGATCGAGGGACTGTATGGGACGTCGAGGGTAGCTGGATCCAGGTTGATGCAATAGGCAGGCATGCTTTTTTCTTGGGRTTTCGTGTCCTCCTCGTTGTCAATGTMGTCCTCCTCGTTCTGCCCATCGTCGCCCCCTGCCGTTTTCTCTTTCGCTTCTTCGCCCTCGATGTCCTCTTCGTCGTCGTAGTCTATGGTGGAATCCTGGAGCTGTGACATGAGCGTGGTCTTCCCAGAACCCGCCATCCCGACCACCAGCACACACACCGGTGTTGGAGATTCCGGGGTCTGCTCTTCGATTCGTTTGACAACGGGGGGCATTTTGGGAGGGCCGGTGATCGTGGTTTCCTCTGACATATTGTGGTTATCTCCTTGTCTCGTATTCTATGCTTTGATTRATAGGTTATTGATAGGTTATKCTTCGATTGGAAGTTGCTGCTATGATGCTGATGTTGCTGTTGGCTCTGTTTTSTTGTA